GCTTTGGAGAGAAATGGTCTACACATCACCCCTTTCCCTTCAGTGACATCTACTGGCTAAGAAGGAAACACAGAGTGAAAAGGAAGACTTGGGCAGGGGGGAGGGGGATGGGGACCTTTGGAAAATGGAACCATCATTATGTGCCTGGACAATCATGGAGCCATTGTTAGGGTGGACTAATAACAGCCACAGCAGCTGTTTTAAACCTTAGTTGGAAACACTCATCTCTTTTAGTCTAATAGAACTTACCTTACAGGTTTTGTTGTGAGGATCAAATGAGGTAATAGGCAATATGCTTTGCCAACCTTAAAGCACTACACAAATACTAGCTATTATTATTAGGTTTAATCTAAAAAGGGTTAAAAAGTTCTATTGTCTGGTTCTTTTTTTTCTTCTTCATAGAATCCATAGTTCTAGAGCAAGGATTCTTAACTTGAGATCAATGATTTTTTAAAATTGATAACTGTATTTTAATATAATTGATTCCTTTGTAATTATATATAAAATTTATGTATTTTAAAACATTATTCTGTGAAGGGATCCATAGGCTTTTCCATCCTGCCACAGGGGTCAATGACATGCACAAAAATTAAGAACCCCTGTTCTAGAGCTGGGAAGGGCTACAGAGGCCAGAAATGATTATGTGGGTCCTGATGAGACAGAAAGAAATCAAATATTTCCAAGAGCCAGAAGGGAACTTAGTTAGAGATAATCTCATCCAAATCTTTAATTTTACAGATAAGAAAACTGAGTCTTACAAAAGTGGAATGACTTGCATAAGGTCACACAGTAAATGTCAGAATCTATCCTCAAACCTAGTTCTAGATCTATGATCCAGGACAAACTTTTAAGTTCAACACTTTCCATTACACTATGCTGCCTCTATGAACAGAATAAGTTAATTTCTACCCCCTCTGCCCATGTCTGTCCTTTTCTCCTCCATTTCCCCTAACTAACCAACCAAACCAAGGGAAAAAAAATTTATTAAGAACCTATACTGTACTAAGCACTTAGGATATAAATACAAAAGCCAAAGTCCCTAAGGAGCTTACATTCTAAGAGGAGAGAAACAGAATGCATGATATGGGCTAATAAAAGATACATACAAAGCAGATAGAAAACGGTCTTAGGGTGCAGCGAGAGCAACCAAGAAAAATCTCATGAAGAAGGTTCCTCTTGCACCAACTCATGAAGGAAATCAAGGATTCCATGAGGCAGAGGTGAACGGGGAGAACATTCCAGGTATGGGGGAGAGCCATGTAAAAGGCATACAAAGAGGTGGGAGATGGAGAATCACGTGGGGGAGAAGCAAGCAGGAAAGATTGGCTGGATTGTAAAGTGCATGGAAAGAAGTACCATGTAACAAGGTCGAAAACCTAGGAAGGGGCCAGGTTGTAAAGAGTGTTAACTTCCAAACAGAAGAGTTTATATGGGGTCCTAAAAGAAATCAGGAGCCACTAGAGTTTATTGAGTAGGGATGAAATATGGTCAGATCTTACTTTAGAAATATTTCCTTGGTAGCTACATGGAGGATGATAGCTTGGAATGGGGAGAGACTTGGGACAGGAAGACCAATTAGGAGGCCATTGCAATGATCTAGGCAAGAAATGATGAGGACCTTAACTAGGGTATTGGTGAAGAAAAGAGATGTAGGCAAGAAACGTGAAGATAGAAAAGACAGGATTTGGCAATTGCTTGGCTATGTGGGGTGAGAGTGACAAGTCAAGGAGGACATTAAGGTTGCAATGTGTAGATGACTAGAAAGATGGTGGTGCCCTTGACAGTACTATATATGTTATCTCATTTGATCCTTACAACCACCCTGTTAGTGGCTATTATTATCTCCATTTTACATTTGAGGGAATTAAGGCTGAAAGATTGTGACTGACTCCGAGTTGGGTATTAAATATCTGAAGCAGGATTGGAAACTCAGGGCTTCCTGATATTAAATCCATCACTTTGTCTACTGACCATTGTACTACCTAGCTCCCCCTAATAGGGAAGTGCTGAAGAGGGTTTGGGGGAAAGATGAGTTTTATATTGGATACATTGAATTTGTGATGCCCACAGGACATTCAGTTCAAAATATCAAATAGGTAACTGATTCTGTGGGACTAGAGCTAAACAGAGAGACATTTTCTAAATATGAAGACTCGGGAGTCATCTGCAGATCGTTGAACTCATGAGTGCTGATGAGTTCCACAAGTGAGAGAGTATTGAGAAAAAGGCTTAAGACAGAACTATGGGATATATCCACATATATGGGAATGTGGGAGAGACTTGATAAAAACCAGCAAAGGAGATTGAGAAGGAGTAGTTAGATGGGTAGGAGGAGAACTAAGAGACAAGAGCTTCACTAAAACCCAGAGGGGAGACAGGGAGGATAACGAGGTCACACACGGCAAGTGATACAGAGAAATCGACAAGGATGACTGAGGAAAAGACCATCAGATTTGGCAATTAGGTCCCTGGTAACTTTGGAAACAGAAGTTGCAGTTGAGTGAAACCAAATGAGTTTCCCAAAGTAGGACTATATTTGACCAACCTTACTGCATAGGCTCATTAAGTCCCAGGTAAGCAAAAAAAGAAATAATCAGCATATCAACACCTGTCTATAACAGATCCCCAAGGGCCTGGAGCAGGTGGCCACCTGTATGGTATGATTCGTAGTTATCTTGAGGCCCTGCCTACATATAAATCATTCCTCCACCTACTTATCACAGCCTAAAATTCCCACCATTAGAGTCACTAATGGATTAAACAACAAAAGAAAGGTATTGTCCTCAGGGGGTCATGGTTAAATGTCATTAGAAGAGATTAGTTTATCAGACTAGCTAATTAATACCTTGGGCTTTGAGACTGATAAGATGGATAACATTTTGATACCTGAGAGGAAGCATGGCAGCCCCAGGGGCAGAAACCAGTGTGAGGTACCTGGCTAAGGATAGTAAGGTCTCCGAAGAATTGATCCAGATAAAAACAGAAAGGCAAGGTGAGGGTAATAAAGGAAATAACAAAAAAATAGGGTCAGCTGTAGATATTGAAATCTCCTTGTGAAGACCACATATGAAAGAACAGCCACCTGGACATTTAATATACAGGTTTCCTAATAGGTAGCCCATGTGGTTCACACTAAATGGGAAATCATGTTTATATTTAAGCATACATTTAAATGGACTGCCCGTGTTTCTGATCCCATTACTACTCAATGTAAAACTGTCTATTGATTATAACTAATGCTGTCTCAAGCTATGGTGGCTCAAAGTTATACTGTGATTTGCCACAATTGGCTTTGGAGATCATTTAATCACATTTCCTTATTTTATAGATAAGGAAACTAGGTCTGGTAATGGAGGCATGAGGCCTAGATTCCAAATCTACCTGATCTCAGGCCTGTGCCCTACAATAGCATGGCTGCCTTCCAATGAGCTATGTCTCACACCTTCACATAAGAAACTGAACTGATTAAAAAAGGATAAAGATAGGAACTGGAATTGTGATTTCATAATTATAGAAAACTCCTGAGGCAACTCCCTCTTCCAAAGCAGGCTGGTACCTTCTCTGCAGCTTATAGTCACTCTAGAGCAATGAGAGGTTAGGTGCTTGTCCCAGGTCACACAGTCAGAATGTGTCAGAGTATGACTTGGACACAAGTCTTCCTAGCTTCAAGGCTGACTTTCTATCCTCTAAACCATGCTGCCTCTTACTGATTACAATTTTCTCTAATTCACAAACTATTTATAGGCAGTAGCCTATCCCAATCATTCTGGACAAACTGGAGGTCACCGCAACTGAGCCAATGTTCTCATGCTACCAGAAAAGAAATCAGAGTTTGATGCCTAACTTTCAGCTTTCAAGAAACCAGTTAGGTTCAACCATGCTACAGAGTTTGCAAATTCAGTTTACTCAACTGAATAGAACTCTTCTCTTCCTTCAACATGCAGCTCAGAAACTACACAAAGCCTTTTCTGATTCTCCCAACCACTAGTGACTACCCTCCCTAACTACCTTTTATTTATTGGTATTTGTTCTCTTTTTCTTCATTCTAGATATATTGTTTCTCCAAATCAGAATGTCGGTTTCCTTGAGAGCTTTTTATTTTTTGTGCCCCCGGTGGCTACCCCAATGCCCAATATAAGCTTACCTGACTGAAGAAGACAAAATCTAAGAGTGGCTTGCTTTGGCCAATTGATGTTAGTTCAACAATAATAATTTACATCTAGATATCAATTTCCAGTTTCCAAAATACTTTATAGGCTTTACATATCATCCCCCCTGAACAAAGCAAAATTGCTGGACATTGGTTCAAAGCACGCGTAACATCTTTGGAGAAGCTAATATACTCACAGGAATAATTGCTCCACATACACCTATTGGCTCATGCCTGGTAAAACACACAACATTTTCATCTGTAAGAGAAATGAGAGAGGGGAGAGGAAACACATGTACATATTAACCTGGGGGAAAAAAATTCCAAGTGTTAAGCAAAATCTGAAAAGGATTCATGTGGACTATAAAAAGTTAACAGGAAGCAACTGGAGTTGATTAGTAGGGGTATGATATATCTGACTATAAAAAGTAATCCTTGGCCGAGCATGGTGACATACACCTGTAATCCCTGCTGCTGGGGGAGGCTTGAGGCTCCTGGATCACTTGGGCTCAGGAGTTCTGAGCTGCAGGAGTCTAAAGCCAATCAGATTTCTGCACTAAATCAACTACCAATATGATGAGCGCTGGAGAGAAGGGAGCTACCGGGTTACCTAAATAAGGGTGGACTGGTCAAAAATGGAGCTGTTTAAAGATTCTGGAATGATGCGCAATAGGACCCAGTCCATGAATGGCCTCTGCCCTTACAGCCTGGGGGAGATGTCCAATGTCCAAAAGTAAAAACAAAACAAACAAAAAAAACCCCATAGAGATAATCTTCAGCTCACAGTCACTTCAAAACCTCTCAAGAACAAAAGCTGTGTCATAACTAAGTGTTGTTTTGCTTTTCCTAGTAACAGCAGAGATTATGTCTCAGAAACCTGGGCCATGAAAGAAATACGGAAGAGACTTTTCCATCCTACTCTAGCTTACCTGCGGGAATAGTTCTGCCATGTATCTTGTCTGCCCACCCTGCATAGTATCTGAGTGTTTTGATACACCCCTCCAGGTCAATGAAGAAGGCATGAAGGAAAGGTTTTCCTGTGTCCATGGTTTCCAGAGTCTGTAACAGCAATAAAATGGCATGTCAGTTACTATCTCCAAGTTCCTGGTTTGTGAGAGGAGAATACAATGTGGTCCTTGGCTTTTATCCTCCAAGATCCACATTCACAGATGCACCTTCTTTTAAAGAAAAAAAAGAAAAAGAAAGAAAGAGTTACTTGAAAATATTAAAGTCTGACTAAAGTTGGCATGCACTGCTTTTATTTCAAAACACCTAAGAGTTGGGCCACTAGCCAAACAAGGGGGATGAGTTACATGCATCTCCCTGGGACCACCCGGATTCAAAGCTAATTTGAAGCATCACTGGAAAGAAATGAAGTTTTGCATTTGATCTTCCATCTGAAGCCAAATGACTCAGCCCACAGAGCAGCTTTAGTTGTTTAACCTTGTCGTGTGGGCCTATTTGTTCACAGGAATCATTTTCAATATTGGGGCTGGCTTTAGTGTTTTTGATAAAATAGCTAGCCACTTTGTCTGGTGGCAGCTTCAGAAAATGAAGGATAATGACAGAAAAAGAAAAAAAATAAGAACTGGGCTTACTTAAAATAATGCTTTTTTCCCCCTCACACAGGCTGGCTTCTGTCACTGTAGAGTAGCTGACGTTCTTCTGGAAAGAACGTTTCTGCACACAAGAGAAGCGCTATCCCCTGGTAGAATTAAATGTCTAAACAAAGATGAAATCATGCTGTGCTGATGTTCAAGTACTTTAGTTCTAACTAGAAGCTGCGTAGACTTTTCCTCCATGATAAGGGCCATTATTATCTGCTGACGCTGCTGCAGCTACTAAATGACAGGGGTTATTTTCTATTTTCAGCATCATTTTAAGAGAACCCTTTTTGTTCACCAGACAAGCCCTCCCAGTTCAAGCTTTTTCTAAAGCCCTAACATTGAAACTTTCAGTTGTCCCTAAATACAGGAAGTTGCCGCACTGCCACATAGCCCAAGGCTTGACTTCTTGACAACCAATAAATAATTGAGACGCAATACCTGGGCCTCTTCAAAGTCTGAGTCTCCACATCTGTAAATGGTAAGATACTAATAGAGTCACGACATTAAAAGCCTGGTACTTATTAATAATCATCTCTCACGTTTACAGAATGCTGTGCCGTTGACAAAGCACTTTTATGAAAACAACTCTGTGATATAGGCAGTATAAGCATTATTCATTCCATTTTATGGAAGGGTTAAACTGAGGCTGGATCAGAGAGATTAAGTGATTTTCTCACAGCCACACAACTAGTGAGTGGAAGATCTGGGACTCAAATATAGGCCTCCTGATTCCAAGTCCTGGTCTCTTTCTACCATTCCACACTTTTCTTTTTTCTTTTTCTTTTTCTTACTTTATTTTCAAGGGACACAACACCCTATAGATGGAGATCAATAATTCTCAAAATACCTCTTTGGGAACTCCATAGACTTTTGTCAATAGATGAGAGGGCTGAGGCAAAAGAGACAGAGTCTGCCCACTGAACGTCACAAAGTAAGTCAGGGCTGCAGCTGGGGCTTGTCCTCTGATCTTGTTTCTAATTCTCAAGTGCCATCTACTAGACCACATTTTGGCCTCACATTGATGCAAATTTTGTTTGAAATTTCTGCTTTTCAAGGTGAACCTCAGGAATGATAGCTCCTGCCTACCTTTCCAGATGCATTTCCTATTACTGCCCTTCATGTACTATAAATTCCACGCAAACTAGCCTACTGACTGTTCTCTGAACTCAATGTTCCATGTCCTGTTTCCTTGTCTTTGCGAGAACTGTTCCCAATGTTTGAAATCTCCTTATTCAAATCCAAGTTTTGGAATTTTCTAGTGTCCTTCAAGACCTAACAGAGGTGCCACCTCTTCCAGTTGAAGCCAAATGAGTCAGCCCACAGAACACTGAACCTTGTTATATAGCCTATTTGTTCACATGAATTATTTTCAATATTGGAGCTGGCTTCAGTGTTTCTAACAAAATAAGTAACCACTCTGTCCCATGACAGCTTTTTTTTTTGTGTGTCCCATGGCACAAACTTTTCATGATCTTCCAAGTGGTTTGTTCATTCATTCTCTCTCTCTCTCCCTCCCTCCCTCTCTTTCTCTGCCCCTCTATCTCTCTTTGTATTTACAATGTGCATTTATCTTGTATCTGGTGCACCACCCCACTCCCACTCCCACCCCTAGGTAGAACGTAAGTTCCTTGAAGGCAGAGACTGTTTGATTTTGGCTTTATATCCCTAGCACTATGATAAATGCTTTACAAACATTATTTTGTTTGATTTTCCCAACAACCCTGGGAGGCAGGTGCTATTATCCCTATTTTATAGTTGAGGAAACTGAGGTAGACAGAGGTTAAGTGACTTGCCCAAGGTCACATAATAATTAAGGGTCTAAGGTAGGATTTGAATTCAACTCTCCCTGAGTCCAGGCTCACCACTCTATCCCCTGTGCCACCTAGCTGCCACTTTTAAATTAATAAATATTGATTGAATTAGATAGCCAAAAATTGTCACCAATATAGACAGGCCTACGCTAGAAGGCAGGGGGGCATATGTTAGGTGTCCTGTGAGTTATCCTACATTCTTTCTCTTGGGTGGGATATTAGACAGAATACAGAAGTCTTTTAACCCCTAGAAATTCGGTCTAATAGACTAGTATCTGAATATGCCAGGTTTGTTTTGTTCACAATGGACTTGGACAGCATAATCCCCTAATGCTGAACCCTTAAAAAATGCCATAGACAGTAAGGCCAATGTGGTTTTGCCCATAGTTTAAATACTATTTGTGCTTTTTTTTTTTTTTTGCTATTGCTGTATTGGTAGCTCCTAAGTTAACGACTATTTAGTTACAAATTTTCAAGAAAGAAAACTAAACAAAAAAGCTACCTTCTAAATAATTAGAACCCAAATTTGCAGTAAACAAAATAAATTCTTTATGCTAGAAGAAAACTGTTGACATCATCAACTTTGCCACAGGACTTGTTACAGAGTAGCCTACATGGGTGAGGTCCAGATACGGAACAGCAGGTTGAAAAGGAGATTTGAAAAGGCAGTTCTGAGGGAGGACCCAGAAGTCGAAACCACAAAAAGCTACACTCTGTGATTAAAGCACATCAGTAATGGAGAGAATTCCAGGGACACCAGATGCACCCACATCTGTTTCTGAACATTTTACACCAGAAATGGGTAAACAGCTCTGTCAAAACCACTAAAACCGAAATGCTAACAAGACTAAAAGAAGCACTTCACTGTGTGAAAATGCTGCCGTCAGAAAAAAAACCATATCAAGGTAGAGTTTGATAGGCATTTCCCTATGATGTGGTTTTTTACCATACTTTCCAGTAATTCTCTTGTCCCCTTTCATGTCATGGCAAATGGATAGCTCTTATTTCTTGTGGGCAATATGACCCTAATGGCAAAGTACCTCTCTTCCTTCTAGTTATGAATTCCACCAATATTCCTTTTATTATCAAAACACAATTTTATGGGAACAACAAAAAGAATGGAAAAATGAAGGTTATCGTTGCACTGCTGTTCTTTCAGAAGATGTTTGCGTTGACACTAAGGGTGGGGGGTACCTATGGTAGAGTCTATAACCAAGTTATTAGCCCATGTTAAGATGTCAGACATATGAGATCATCTTGGTTAAAACAGAGATGTTTTAAAAAGCCAGCTTGGCAGCTTAAGAGTTGAAACTGGCCTTCATTGCAGGAAGAAACCAGAGGCCTAATGGCAAGAAATGCTTACTTTGGTAGGGCACTAACCCTCACTCCCACTCGGGATGAACTTGCCAGATGAACAAATCCAGAAGTGAAAGACTCCAGTTTCTCTGCAGGGATACTTATCCTACTGCTTTCCTGATAGCAAAACTCCCAATAAAATGCCCATGAGTTAGATGTGAAGAATTTTGGGTTTTTTTAGAACTACCCTAAAGAAAAAAGTTTAAGAAAGAAAATAGTCTTATTATCTTTGTGGATGCTGCCCAAATCCCTTGAAAAATGATATATAGTCTACCCCTCACCCTGCCATGGATAGGATCAAACTAAAGAGAGGAGATCCAATTTTTTCAACTCAATGGCCAAAAGGGAGACAATCTTATGAGGTATCTTACCATGTAATTTGTGGCTAAATGTTGGGGGTAACTATTCAAAATGGGGAAAGCCAGGTGGCACAGTGAATAGAGTGCCAGGCCTAGAATTAGGAAGACTCATTTTTCTGAGTTCAAATCTGGCCTCAGATACTTACTAGCTTTGTGACCCTCGGCAAGTCCCTTAACCCTGTTAGCCTCAGTTTCCTCATCTGTAAAATAAGCTGGAGAAGGAAATGACAAACCACTCCAGTATCTTTGCCAAGAAAACCTCCAATGGGGTCATAAAAAGTCAGACACAGCTGAAAAACAATTGAACAACAACCACAAAATTCAAAATGGGTCTCAGTTTGCACAGATGACCAATGTGTTTAGCATAATGTGTGGTACGCAGTAGGTAGCACTTAATAAAACTTGTTGACTATCTGACTGACAGTATAATGGATATTGAGACAAAGGTAGCCCTAGCATTTCCCGACCTCCTTGGACAATCTCTGTACCACTGCAAGTTTAAGGAAAACTATCTTACATTTGTATAGCATTTTAACATATACAAATACTTTCTTCACAATAACTCTATGAGGCAGATAATCAGGCTGTCTTTATCACTGTTTTAAAAATAATGAAACCAAGGACTAAGGGGTAAAGTGATTTGTCCAAGCTAACCAAGCTAATAGATGTCCAAGGAAGGCTTCAAACCCAGGCCTTCCAATTTGAGGCCTACTGCCCTTTTCTACTCTATTATCCTGCCTTGGGAAGGCTTGAGGATACTTTTGGGTTTAAGAGCTAGTTTACTTATTTGAACTAGCCTTCA